ACTTACATCTTTATGATGTAGTCTTCTATCCAGGAACAAAAGATATTTTGCCACCTGGTTAAGTAAATTCTAGGTCTTTCAGGAACTTTCTAAACTATCTTCTAATAGGTTTTCCACATTTCTAGTTTATTCAGTCTCTTATCTCCTCTGTTACTGTGTGAACAGGGTTTTCCTCCATAATTAAATCCTCTTTGTGATTCTCATTTGTGTATATGTGGGCTATTGATTTCTGTATGTTAATTTTATATTCTGCTACCTTAAAAAATATTTTTATTTTTGAGTTAATTTTGTCATTGATTCTTCTGGATTTTTCAGGTGTACTTGTCTTACATTTGTGAATAGAGATAGCTTTGCTTCTTTTCCAATTCGTTGGCTCTAATTGATCCCTTTTGTCAAATTGAATGAACTAATACTTCTAGCTCAAGGTTCCCTCATTCCTGATCCATTCAGTGAGAGGGCGGGCCTTAGGACTGAGTTGTATACATCTTTGTCATGTTAAAGAACTAGCCATTGATGTGTGTGTTTTTATTACTAATGAATGTTGAATTTGTCAAAAATCTTTTTCAGCATCTATGGAGATGCTCAAATAATTTTTCTCTTTAGATCTTCCCATATGGTATATTATATTAATGGATTTGCTAAGAAGGAGCCAAGCTTTCATTCCTGGAATAAATTCCACTAGGTCATTATGTGTTATTTTCTTAATATAATATTGACTTCTCGGCTCGCCTGGGTGGCTCAGTTGATTAAATGTCTGCCTTTGGCTCGCATCTTGATCCCAGGGTCCTGGGATCTGGCTCCCTGCTCAGCAGGGAGCCTGCTTCTCCCCCTCCCTCTGCCCCCAGCTCATGCATGCATGCTTTCTCTCAAATAAATAAAATTTTACAAAATAATAATATTGAATTCTCTTCAATATTTTATTTTGGGTTTTTGTTTTTATATTAATAAATAATGCCAGTCTTGTCCTTTTCTGTTTGTCCTAGTGTTGCCTTTTCAGGTCTTGTGTTAGTTTTCTATTGCTGCTGTAACAAATCACCACACTATCTTAAACAATACACATTTATTCTTTTATTTTTAGTGGTCAGAAGTCCAAAATGGGTGTTAATGGGGCTAAAGCCATGCGGGGAGCAGGTCTGTGTTCCTTCCAGGAGCTCTAGAAAAGAAACCCTTTCCTTGTCTTTTCCCACTTCTGGAGGCTGCCTACATTCCTTGCCCACCGCCCTCTCCCCCCATCTTCAGAGCTGGCAGGGTGGGGGGGTCTTCAGATCTCTAGGTGTCTGCCTGTGTGCACATGCGCAGGCACACGCACGTGTGTGAGACCTCCACTTCTGGGCGTGCATCTTCTCATTCCCCGGCCTCCTTTTCCCTAATTAGGACCTTTGTGATTACATTGTCCCCATCTGGACACTTCAGAATCACCATCCCTTACCAACGTAATTAAATCACATCTGCAAACTCCCTTGTAAGGTAACATAGCCACAATTTCTGGGATTAGGATATGGACCTCTTTCTCTCTGCCACAGCTAGTTTGGAGATTTTCTTTGCTTTTCTATGCTTTGCTCCTCCTTGAAGCCTCCTGTGAAACCTTAGGGACCTGATGCATCTTTGTAGAATAGTTTCTTAATAACTTTCCTTTCTTTGGAAACTGCTTTATCTAAGCTTTCTATTTCTATTGGGTCAATTTCAATAAACTATTTTCTGGGCAATTACCTGTTTCATCTAGGTTTTCTAATTTATTGCTTTGAGGTCTACAAAGTGGTCTCTCATGTTTTAAATTTTGTATGTTTCAATGATTATTTCTCCCTTGTCATTTTTTATTTCATGTATGTGAACTTTCTCCCCTTTCTCTCAAGTACCTGAACTACTGATTGTTTTGATACTTTTTTAAAGAGCCAGGATTTTTATTTATTAATTAGATATGTCATTCTTCCGTTCTCTACCTAATTAATTTTTGCTTTCACCTTTATGATTTCCTTCCTGGTGCTTTCTTTTGATTCACATTGTTCTCTCTGCAGCTTTTTTTGAGTTTTGGGTTTAATTCATTTATTTTTCATGATAAAAGTGTGTAAGGTGAAGAATGCTTAAAATGATACGTAAGTATCATGCTTTATGCATCATAGGTTCTAATACATAGCATTTTCATTATCATTTTTTAAAATTCTGCACTTTTAGATTTGTATTTTACTTTTCATCCAGATGATGTTAGCTTGTAGGTGAAAGGGCTTTCTTGTTGTTACTAATTTCTTGTTTCATTGTGTCAGGGTGTTTGTAATATTTCTATTCTATGCAATTTATTAATTCTTTTTTTGTGACCTAACACAGAATCAAATAACGTGAATTCCTATGTCTGTTTGAGAAGGTGAGAAGGAGTATACTCTTGGACACATTTAAATGAGAACTATCTGATTGATTATGTATTTAGGTCTTCTGGATTATTATTTAATTTTAGTCCACTTGGCCTGTCTTAGATTGAGTATCACCTATTATATTTCCATGTACTTCACTTTGCATCTTTAACAGGTAGTTTCTTCTTTATAAAGGTAGTTGCATTCCTCCCATCCTTTGGAACTTTGTAGGATTTGTATTTTTGTCCTATTGGTTGCCTTTGAACATAAACGTTTTTAATGCCCCTAGTCCCTGTTTCTTATTTAATCCTTTATTATCTCATTGGTCAGTTTTTAATGGTGTTCTTGGACTCCCAGCTCTTACTTCAACTCTACTCTCAATGAGCTTCTTCTCTTTCAGCTTTTCTATATTTCCTCCCATTTCTAGTTACATTATTTTTACTTTGTCATATAAAATGTATATATTATCTTTCGACCCATCTCCTACCTTCATTGTACTCCTAAATCTGATAAGTACATTAAATGTTCACATTCAATCCTTTTGCTGAAGTTTCTCCAATGATTTCTTGGTTGAATGAAGACTATTCAAGAGAGCCAATATGTATAGTATTCCCTGCATTCTTACATTTAGTTTTAGAACTGTTCTTCTGTAGCCTTGATACTTGAAGAAGATTTAGATGGTTGTGAGATCTTTGATTCAGACTTTAATTTTTTTTCAGACTTTAATTTCTTTTTTCTTTTTTTTTAATTTTTTTTTATTTATTTATGATAGTCACAGAGAGAGAGAGAGAGAGAGAGAGAGGCAGAGACATAGGCAGAGGGAGAAGCAGGCTCCATGCACCGGGAGCCCGACGTGGGATTCGATCCTGGGTCTCCAGGATCACGCCCCGGGCCAAAGGCAGGCACTAAACCGCTGCGCCACCCAGGGATCCCCAGACTTTAATTTCTGATTTAAGATGGTTTTCACATCCTGGGGTGCATGATTGAAAACATTTAATTTACTCGGGCAATTTTGTACTGTGATTTCCTTCACTTTATGGTTTATTTTGGTAGGACATCTGGCATTTTCATTAGATAATAGATTTTGTTATTCTTATTTTCTATTTTCTTTTATAACAATTGTGTATAGATTGAGGCTACCTTTATTAATTTCATGTATTTCAAGTATTTATGAGATTTCTAGTTTAATATGATCCTTTCTAGTGGATATAACCAAATATACTTTCTTTTTTACAATTTTATTTTATTATTATTTGGGGGTGAGAGGGAGGTTGTGTGTCTTCCAAATTTTTCTTTTTCCTTTACAGGATATGAAATTCCGCCCCCCGCCTTCTGCTGTCCTCTACCTTTCTCACCCAGTTTCCAAAGGATGTTTCTTCTTGCTCTGTGTCCTTTTCTCCCTGAAGCAGTGCCTTTTAGACTACCACCTCGATTCATGCCCACTTCTGAGTCTCTTCCTGGTACAGTCTTTTCTACTTCAGGTTGACGTTCTTTCCAGCGATGGCTTCAGCTCAGTTCTTGGCTGCCACTTCATATCCTTCTTCTCTTGTCTATACCATTTTTCCAGGGCTCGTACCCAAAGTGCGACATTACGGCTCTGTTGAGATTTGGTATTAACTTTTTCTTTCTTTCTTTTTCATTTTTTTACTTACAGGTGGTTTGAAGATTACATGATTTTTTATCTTCTAGTTTACCGAGAGTGTGGGTGTTGTGTAGTTTTACTTATTCTTCCTGCTGATCTGTGTCGCTTTGTAGGTAGTTCATCACATTAATCCAGGCTGCCTCTTTCTAAGTGGCACTTGGACACAGCAAGGGGAAAGATGCTGTTTTCCGCAGGACTATAGTCACCGTGGTGATGTAGAAAGATCTGAGAGAGAGAAAGCTGGTGTGTTCTTTGTACACTGTGAAAACCATTCAAAGACTGACTTACCTAGAGCATAGAACTTTCAAGGCCACAACAAAATCAAAGAAATGGATGCAAGCATTAGATCTGAAGAGTATAATTGCATTCACATTTGTTTTTATGCTGAGTGCCAAGGAGCATAAAAATGTCTTGCATTAAATGTCTTACATAAAATGTCTGAAATTAACTTTAATGTTACATTAAAACACTTTTTTTTTTACTCTTTATTGTTTCTTTTTATTTTTTATTTTATTTATTTATTTATTTATTTATTTATTTATTTTTATTTTTATTTATTTTTTTTTTCTCAAAACACTTTCAAATTTATCCTTTACCCGGCGACCCTGTAGGTAGTAAAGTTCTATCGCACAACTATTCCCAGATTTTGTCCCACAGGTGAGGGACAAAGACTCAGATTGCCTCACTCACATGATGTCCTGGCTGGAAAGTTGACTTGAGTAGAGCGGGGGGTAAAACATAAACCTCCTGACTGATGATGCCATGCATTTCCAGTACCAGCTGTGCCTCATCATAGAGGTTTGTGCTTGTATGAGCCTCTTTCCAATTTTTTGTTACTGTTCGATCACTTCTGTAACCTAAGTCCACTCCCTGATAATAAATTACTAGGGGAAAATGCTTTTTAGTGTTGTATTTCAAGTTGATCTGTGCTGTTAAAACAATGTAAGTTGCTTGTCTGATAAGTAGGAAGTACTTTCTCCAATAATGATCCACCTTCATCTCTCTTTCCACAGAGGACAGTTATGGGATGGATGGGAAGGTTAATCTGCCCAGCCACACCACAGATGTCAACTGGCAAGGTCTAGAGGATTTATACAGTGTGAATGCAAGTGTCTATGAGTACAGACAAAACTATACACTTAGTCTGGTTGACTGGACTAATTACTTGAAGGATGTAGATAGAGTATTTGCACTGCTGAACAGCCGCCACGAGCAAAATAAAACAAATAAGACTAAAAATGCTCAGAGTGATGGGTTCCTGGCTGGATCTGCTGAGCTCTCTGTGCCAGCAGAGACGGCCTCCGCTGAGTCAGATGAAGACCCGAGTCGTCTGGTTGGGGAAGCGCCTCATTTGACCTTGCCAGCTGACCTTCGAACCCTGCATTTGAACCAACCAACATTCAGTCCAGAGACGAAACTTGAATGGAATAACGACATTCCAGAAGTTAGTCGTTTGAATTCTGAACACTGGAGAAATCATAAAACTGAAAAATGGCTGGAGCACGAAGAGAGAAATCATCTTGAAACCGATTTCAGTGGCAATGGCCTCACAGAGCTGGTGCTCAAGCCCAGGCCCCGGCTGCAGCCCAGTAGCAGGCAGCAGAAAGAACTTCCCCAGCGTGGTGGTCCAGGACAAGATATTTTTGAAGATCAGCTGCACCTTCCTGTGCATTCTGACGTTGATTCTGTTCATCAGACGATCAATACGGCGGCCGTGGAGCAGCCTCCCAACTCCAGCAGCGAGAAAAGGATGTTGAACAAGGTGAAGAACCACAAGACGGGGAGCTTACAGAGTCTGGAAGGCAGTGCCTCCTTTCCACTCTCCTCTGACTAGCTGAAATTGTTACCTTACCCTAAACATAGTATTTTTTTAACTTTTTATTAGTAAACTAATACAGGCAATCACAACAGCCCACACTCCAAGCTACCGTAGGTACACAGGTGCAGAAGTTAGCACGCGCGTGAGCAGTAGGCACACAGGGACTCGGGGTTGTTAATTAACTATTTGTCAAGAATAGAAAGGAAAGTTGATCTGTGTGTGCTTGTTTGGGGGAGACTAAAACAGTATTATCTTTCGAAAGTTATAGGGATATGCCTATACAAATACTATCCAGTCAAGATGGCTAGGATTGTACTAAGTTTCTAAAACTTGACGTCCTCCATGAGTCTTTCGACACACTTTCCACTGCCTGCATAATGTGGTTTTGATTCCTTTTTTAACCACTGGGATTTTCAGTGCCATCATGTCCAATGATTTTGCATTTTGAGATCAGAATGCCATGTCTGTTTGGTTAGTCTTTTTTTTTTCTCTTCCCATAGGCTTTTCATAGTCTCACTGCTTGCTCTCAGTGTGACCACGGAAAGTAGACCCCCAGAATGGCACACAGTATGGATCACATATTGTTCAGCATATGCTTTTGCCAGAAAATATTGCATGCGTTTTCCTCGACTTGCTAAAATTGATTAGCAGAAAGGCATGGCTAACGATGTTGGCAGTAAAAATAAATAAATCAGCATAACAAAGATTGCCTGCTCTCTCTGTGCCTAGCCTCAGTGTTCATGATTTGCTTCAGATTACTAAATTTTATTATTTTATTAGCAGGATAAAAGGACTGAAGACTTTTTTTTTCATCTTTGTTTTCTTCACCTGGCTAATAAGGTCAAGTGCTGAGAAAATATGCTTAGTTTTGAATTTATATAAGAAATATTTTTCAATTAAACAAACTCATGAATGTTTCATATTTTAAACACACCATATGTGTTATATGATTAATTTTAAGGCCTTCACCACGTTCTGGGGTTTTTTTTTTAAAAGGCATAATTCAAGACTGCTTTTGAAATTCTGTATTCTTGAAAATATTCTTGTTATGTATTAGATTTTTAAATACCAGCAAAAGGATTACCTCATGGAGAGTTATCAGTACCCTAGCCAACTTCCCAAGAAGGTTTTTTTTTTAGCTTAACCGTGATTTTATTTTTAGATCATTCAAATGCATAGGTAAATTATGTTTTCTTTAAGTGTTTAAGGTAAACTCTTTTTAAAGAAAGTTTAATGTTATAGGTGAATCTTTGATAACTTTAAGTCTTTATCATAGACTCTGTACATATGTTAAAATTAACTAGCTCTTTATCAGATGTGTGTGTCACCAGCTGAATGACAGAAGAAACATATTTATGGTCATGAATGATGTGCTTTGTAAAAAGGTTTCAAGTTATTAGGAAGCATACTGTGTTTTTTAATCTTGTGTAATATTCTGTGATACTTTTATAGAACAATTCTGGCTTCGGGAAAGTCTAGAAGCAAATATTTCTTGAAATAAAAGGTGTTTAAACTTTACCTGTTTCAGAGAAATGAGCTTACCAAGTTTTTGTGCTATACACCCATTCTTTGCAAGTAAAATTGAGCCCTGATCTCAATTGACATGAAGGAATATTAGCCACATTTGTAAAATCACCCCAAAGTCATTGTGTTACAGAACGCGCTCAGATTAATGATTTCATTGTGGATTTGCCTCCTTGCTTCAGGTAGGATGTGGCAAAGGCAGCACAAGAGTGGCTTCCCCGCTATGTCACCTGGGCAGTTGCACAGAGCCAGTGCTTGGTTTAATCCTCTACTGTCGCCATCCTGACATCTTTAATGACTTTTGAACAAGAAATCCCACCTTTCCTCATTTTCACCAGCCCAACAAATTATATAGCTGACTCTGGGCAGCACAAATAAGAGTTTTTCAAAAGGAAGAGGACAGGTCCACTGAAGGAAGTTTCAGTTCACTGGGGACAGAACCGTAGACTTTGCTTGAGCAAAGACCTAACCATCCTCCAGTCAGTTTCTCCTGACTGACAAATGCCATATACTTCCCTTGGCTCCAGATTTCCTGAAGAGCTTTCTCTTCTTCAAGTAGAGGGGCTGACAATCTCTGAAATGTCCAGAGCCCAAAAGGATAATAGTAAAGGGGGAAGAAACAAAAGCAAAGGACTTTTTGAGATCTGCTAACCCGGCCCTGGGATAATTTAGGAAACCATCCATGAGTTTGCAAGGGCCACCGTAACAAAATTCCACAGGCTGAGTGGCTTCAACAACAGACATTTACCTTCTCCCTGTTCTGGAGGCTGGAAGTCCAAGACCAAGAGGCTTTGATTTCTTCTGAGGCCGCTCTTCTTGGCTTTCGGGTGGCCACCTTCTCTGCGCATTTTCATCCCTGGCATGTCTTCATAAGAAGACGGTCATATCAAATTAGGGCCCACTTTATGACATCATTTAACTTTAATTACCTCTTTAAAGGCCCTCTCTCCAAATACAGTCACACTAGGGTTTAGGGCTTCAATATCTGACTTTTGAGGGGACATAATTCAGGCTGTAACACCACAGTTTAATCGAGAGAAGAGTTTGAGATACTGCTGTTGACCAAAGGCACATCTTTTTGCCTCCCTTCTTGTTCCTCTCCTACAAAATGGGAGTAGGTCAAATGTTGCTATCCTGGAGAAAATCCTATTTTAAGTACAATTCAGTAACTACTTATAGAGTACCTACTATGTGCAAAGGGCACGAACAAGACTTTCAGTTGCTGAAGAGTGCTTAGAAACTGGCTAGCCAATGGACTGTGTTCGATCTCTGAGGAGATGATGCCCAGAGAGCTCAGCTGATTGCCCAACTGCCCACTTCCCACAAACTTACCAGAGGCAGGGCCAGCCCCTCTCCATTTTCTCCACTTACACACACACACACACACCTACACACACAGACCAGGTCAGGGAAGGGAGAGGCCATAGTGAAACCCCATGTGGTAAAGAGTAGTGGAAAGAACAATGGACACAAATTCTAAATTTTACTATCTGTATAAAGTGGGGAAAGTCACAAAACCTCTTCTTGACTGTAAAATTAGAGGTGTAAATCAAGGGGGACAAATACAACACATAAGTGCTTTCTTTTTCTAAAATGTGCCTAGGGGAGACATGGCTAATGCATGAGGACACTCCATGAAGCCAGAGCACCTGCACCCTTAGATTCCTTCTCAGTACACCCAGCTACACTGTTGAGTTGGTTTTGGAGTGTGAGACATAAACCTACTTGCCATGGGCACATGGGTAGCTCAGATGGTTGAGTGTCTGCCTTCAGCTCAGGTCATGATCCCGGGGGCCCTGAGATTGAGTCCCGCATTGGGCTCCCCACTCATCAGGGGATCCTGCTTCTCCCTGTCTCTGCCTCTCCCTCAGCTCATGCGCTCTCTCTCAAATAAATAAAAGTCTTAAAATAAAAAAAAAAAAACCCTACTTGCCATATCCAAACTAAATAATATCTGAGGCTCCTCCCAACCTTCTTTAAAAAAATAAAATAACCCTATCTGCAGGGTTTTTGGTTAAGAGAGAAAGAATGAATACGTAACACTCTCATCCCATGGCAAATGTACCTAAACATGTTGCCCTTCTAAAAAAAGATTTTTAGGGACACCTGGGTGGCTCACTTGTTGAGTGTCTGCCTTTGGTCCAGGGCGTGATCCCGGAGTTTAGGGATCGAGTCCCACTTCAGGCTCCCTGTGGGGAGCCTGCTTCTCCCTCTGCCTGTGTCTCCGCCTCTTTCTGTGTCTCTCATGAATAAATAAATCTTTAAAAAAATAAAACAATAAAAAAATATTTTTAAATGCCTATTGTTCAGAACTTGCTTTAGAGCTAAGATGATCTCCATTATAAGAAGGTCCTCAATTCATCAAGTTAACCCAATTCTGCTTGATATTTTCAAATCTATTCCCTTGGTATTTCCAAAATTTATTTGGAAAATATTTTCAAAATTCATTTTAATAGAAAACAAAAGATCTTAGAGCAACTAATAACCTCAGCGTGGTCCACCTCCCTGTTCATTTAAGCCCTCATGACCTCTTCTAGAAGTTGCTGGGAAAGCTGTAATAGCACCCGAAGCCTCTCCCCTTCCAGCTCCAACTCTACTAGAGCCCACACTTGCTGTCTTTCATCACACAGCTCACCTCAGCCTCCCGCTCAGATATCTTCGGTGATTTTTAACACCACGCTGCTCACCAGAAGCTCCAGCCTTCCATTCATCCATCTGGTCCTCTCCATCTCCTGTCCCCACCAGCTCCTGCTGGATTAGCGCCACCCTCCCAGGTCTGAAGTCCCCACCTCCAACAGTAAAGGGCTCATCTGCCCTTCAATTCCCATATTTTGTTTTCCCTTTTGCCTTATCAAACTTCACCTTCTCTTGCCACATATACTTCCCTCAACTCCCACCCCCTGGACACAGTATCTCTACCATTTTTATTTTACTTTCCCGCAAGTAAGAAAACACTGATGTTATACCTGGTCTGAGGCCAGTGGAGTGAAAATGACCGGCCGCGTTCATCACCTTGCCATTTGCCCCCATTTCTGACCAAGAAACCTACCTAATGCAACTATTGTTCATACACTCACCTTCCTCTGAGTTGTGTCGTTGATGCTGAGGACTTTGCCAGCACAGTACCTGGGGCCTCATAGCGAGCTCACTACTGTATAAAGTAAGCAGAGACAGTGACTTTCAAAAAAGCAGATATTTCCTGTTGACATGAGGGAGCCCCTGCTCCCAGATATCAGGGAAAGTACTGCGGAGTGTTTGTGGACAAAGGGAGCTATGGATGGTGAGGTCTTTTCTGCTAGCAAATACAAGCGGTGGGCAAAGTAATCTACCCTCTGTTCTGAATTCCTGGCCCTACACAGGTGTGCCTCCCCACACTCAGAATTCAGAACCTGTGTCTTCAACCCCCAGTCCTCTTCCCCGTTCCCCTATCTCCCTCCAGTCCCAACGGCACAGGTGACCCAGAGCCAGAGTGGGACCGATCCGACTATTAATGGGTTTCAATGGAAGAGGAGGTGTCGTTGCCACCCTAATATGAATCTGGCCACATAAAAGCCCCATGCAGCTCAAGCCCAGGAAAGAAAAGGGATGAGAGATCAGTAAAGCATGTGATTTCCACGGTGACCATTAGGTGTCACTCTATTGCAACTAATGACATCCCTACCTCCAGCCAGGAACCACCCCTGGCAAAGCGGCCACTTCATTGATTTCGGAAGTAGCAGCACTACCATTTCGACAAGAACACATCTAGAGCAACTTGATCCATGCAGGCTTGCTCTCTCTTTGGTACCTCGGATCTTAGCCATTCCAGAAGACCAAGGGAGGGTTTTAGCTTTCTACTGATGTATATTGGTATTATGAGTTGGAACTGCATCAAACTTTGACGTTTAAATACAAAAGTGAGCACCAAATATCGATCTCCTGGTTTTCCAATGACTTTGTGCAATTAAAGAGGATTCTCGGCGCTCCCCACCCCCAGAACTGGATGCTTTTTAACAGCTCTTAAAAACAGCCCTTTGCTGCGATTGTACCAAGTCTGGGGCTAATGCAAGGAAGATGAGCAGTCACATTCATAACCTTTCCTCTCTCCTCGTTTCTTAAAAAGCAATTCTCTTGTGCGTCTATTTCAAAAAGCCCAATATCCAGAATGATTCTCCTCTCCCTCAAACGTGTAGGGTATCCAAGAGATTCAAGAGAAATCTCTAAGTTGTCTAAATTACACACACAGATGAGGAGAAGGTAGACTGGGGAAGAGGGTACTATTTGCCCTTTGTATAAATGGCTCCCACAACGAATGCACGAAGCCATGGAGGAAACTAAGCATTTATCCAGCACAGATGTGTGCACACACCACCCGCCCTCCCCTGCCCCAGTAACTACTCCTGTATCTTGGGCCACTGTGACCCTTTAGTTTAGCTGTGCAGGAGGGGTGGCTGAGTGAGAAATGGAAATCAATTGCCCTGCTTTACACCTATGGAGTGCTCAAGGCAAGGTTCTAAAAATAACCACTTTGTGCTCTAGTCCATGAGTCATGCTGTTATTTCCGTAGCTCTCTGCCTCCCTCCGCCTCTCACCCAAAAGTTTTGGATGCCTTAGAAAACTCTGCTATCCATCAGAAGAGATCTCAGAGACAAACTAGTTTCAATCGAACACACTTTATTCTTTTTTTTTCTTAATTTTCAATGATCAAGTATTCAAGATGTTGTAAACCAAGGTTTATTAGTACATTGGCGATAGATTTCATCAAACACAAGGAAATTATACATCTTTTAAATTACCCTAAGAGTTTTCCAAATAAATATTCATTGTAAAAATCACAAAATCAAACTCCTTTATGCAACAACTCAAAACGGCCTTTCATTACCGACACACTTTCACACAAACACACACACACCGAACACACACTCCACCAGGATCCTAATGCCAGTTTGACACAGTATTACATCTCCTTTAACTAAAGAGTTAGAGGCTGACCTGCCTATTTCGTGCTTCTAAATTAACATTTGGGGTTTGGGGCAGAGGTATGTATTTCAAGAAAAATGCCCACTATAAAGTCTTATCAATTATTCTTCTTTTTCATTTCTAGATACAAAATTTAAACACCTTTTGTTCATCCCTTTGGTTTAATACGTCCCTGCAATTACTTTAGTTTTGGATATTTTCTCCTCTGATTTTAATATGTAATAGAATACCAGAAAAAGACAACACCTCCCAAACCCCAATTATTAAAAACACCTTATAAGGGTGTCAGGTTTTTGGAGAAGAAATAAGAAAAGATTATGTGAAATATCCCCTCCCCCCTTGAAATTATTTTTAGCATCTGATTATTCTTGCTAAAAGAAATATCAAAAACGCTGAGCTTTCCATAGAAAAGGTATGCCCCCTTAGGGTCTTCATCTTTGCAGCGGAAAGTTCATGGATTAACTGGTCACAAGAGTAATGAGTGCTTGTTTTCTGGGAAGTTCTCTAGATCTCCAAAAGCAAAGCACATGCAGTCCTTTATCAGTGAAACACTGTAAATTCAGTGGCGCATTTTTGTGGTGACATGCATCATCAAATACTTTTAGCACCGAGGCATTTTTTTGTTTTATGTTGCACAAGCAAATACCCAAGGAGGGTTTTCATCATATTTGACCCTTCTTAGGGCTGAGTAAAAATGAAGTGTTTAAAATAACCTGTTCAAACATACACAGATCTGATTCCAACGTAGCAAGAAGTCTGCAACAGACACAGCCAGCAGCATCCGGGAAGATGAGGAAAAGAGAGAAAACAAAAAAGATAAAGTGCACAGGCTACAACCTTCGCCTGCCAGCCATGGCATGCTCTTCCATATCAGGAAAGAGGAACTACAAATAACGTGTAGAGGCTACCTAGTGGTCTGTAGAACAGAATTAGCAAACCTGTAGTCTAGCCAATTCTGGGATCATACAGTGTTTTGGTATCTATCTGCTACTAGATACTCTAGAATACTCCATATGCACCTATTTAGCGATGGTTATACTCATGTTTCTGTGCCATTTAAGATGTTTGAAGTCCACACACATTAAAAGTATAATTGGTTACCCCCTGGACTTGGGCTTTCCTACTGCTCCTGGGCACACTGGAGAATTTCCACAAATGCTTCAGGTCCATTCAAATACTACACAGCTGCTCTTTGGTTGATGCAAAACAGTCCCCAAAAAGAAACTTTCTGGCTCCCAAGTCCACCAAAGAATGCAAACAGGAATTGCAGACTGAGGAAGAATTTTCCTGGTAGTTGGTGAAAATGCAAGACTGTCACTACTTCCTCCTCCTCTGATGGCTGCACTTCCAAGCGCAGGCTCCCAGTTTGTGACCGCAGCTACTGACGGTAACAATCCAGCCAGTTGTTTGGTGTGGAGCATGTAACATTTTGTATGTGTTCATTTAACATGTAACACTTTGTATATGTTCATTTCAAACTTTTATTAGGAAACTTTAAACCCATAGTCACTAAAAATTAATGGAAATGTTAACATTCTGAAAGAGGCAGAAAAGAAAAAGAAAGAACACACTTAAAATCCCCAAAGCTCAGATTCAATAAATCTGAACCACATTTCCTCATGATTCATTTCAGAAATTCTGAGACTCAATGCTAACATCAAAATTGATTTGTTCTATATTAAATATAAACTATAAATAAATACTTGAGGTATGTTATGATAATTTTGAATATAACACTTAGCTAAATAAATGTAAATTTACCTTGAAAATCTAAACATTAAATTTTGATGCTTCCTACGGATTTTTTTCTATTGTACACAAAGGAATAATAACTTCTCTACTCTTCAGGAACAGTAACACATCAACAAATGAAATGCTATACCTTACTAAATTATAATCACACTTGTCTTTGTTAACCTAAACCATTATAGGGATTTATATAGAGTAAGAAACGAGTGATGGAGATAGAAACCTGAACCCTGATTTGGCCACTCTGCATAATCCTAAACAAATCTCTTTACCTCTGTGAGCCTCAGTTTTCATGATCTCTTAAAAAAAAAAAACAATAAAAATAGTTATCTTGCAGGTTATTAACAGTATTAAAATAAATGATGTATATTAAGTACTTGACAAAATTCTGAATCAACACTCCACAAGAGCTAATTTATTTCTTCTCTGCTCCTCTTTATTCCCCCCCCCACCTCAGTTCTGAATGACTTCTGAATGTTTTCAAGAATTAAATATCCCTGCAAAGGATAAGGATCTCATACTAATGAAGATAACAAAAAATGTGCTCCAACCACCCACCTCTCCCTGGGGAGTTTCTAAATTAATAGGCTAGACTCGTGGATATTATATTTGCATATTAAAGCAAAATAATACATTAATCTACAGAGTTGATAAAAAAAAAAACAAGGTGACCTTTTCCCAAAACAATTAGAAGCCTAAGTTCATAGAAAGTGGGAATTAAACTTATAATAGGGGCTGTGACAATAAAGTAACAAACACAGAAGAACCTCATATCTACAGTTAAATGGTGCCATTTGTCAAATAGTTACTTTAGTTGACTATGTAATATTCCAAGGATGCTAAGAGGACCCGAAGCATTTTGGGGACAATTCTTAATTGGTACATATTCTAAAACCTCAGTCTTCTGTGATTTTAACTACTTATTCTACATTAACCAACAACACATTAATGATACACCTGCTATTTATAAGTATCACATACTTGAGGAAGTACAATATTAATATTGTGGTGTACAATTCAGGCCAATTTCTTGGAATTCTGGCCAGTCAACCTAAAGAATCTCATAGAGCAGCAGAGGGTAATTGGTTAAAATAGTGCCTGATAGAGAACTGGTCAATGGTTGCTGAACTGGATGGATGAGTGCTCAAGGTAGACAAAGGGGACTGTCTAATTATACCCAAAGAATCAGTCACTTCCTACCCTGGAATTCTGAGAGCAGCTCCTTTTCAAAATATACTACCAAGAAGAGAGAGATTCTAAGAGTGTTGGAACATACAATCTTAGCTTTAAAAAAAAAAAAAAGTGCTAATCCCATCCAAATTCTTTTAATGCAGTTCCTTAGCAATGAGGAAAGAATTAAGAAAATATCACCTCTCCCCAACCTGTATACCTTTAGCTCCAATACAAAAGGAAACTTTCTAAAGGGTCTAAAGGATCAAAGATCTCCCATAGAGAGTAAAAGGGAACCCTAAGGCACCAGAGTAGACACTAAGTTAATCAGCAATATTCTCTGAAGACCTTCAAAATATACCACATGGAGCCAGGCGGAACAGACACCCGGATAATTAAAGGCAACAGCTTACTTATGACTCAGACAAATGAGAATGGTCAAAGGGAAGCCCTTGTCACCTGAGACCACTGGCTCCACCCTTTACAGACATCATTCAGTCTAACAGTGCTAACCCTCTCCACAAACCGCATGCACCCAAAAGGGCCATCTGACAATACCGTTCTTCAGTAGAGAGGAAGGCGACCTGGTACCCACGAGCGATCATACAGCTCCACCAGTACCTCCAAGGAGGAAGGGCAAAGAGCCTGAATCATGGGACAGTTCTGTCAATCCCTTCCCCACATTGAAGACTGGAAGTCAGCCAAGGAAATCATTTCCCAGATTAGCCCCTACACAAGCATAGGTTCCTTGGCAGAAACCATTCACAATTATATTGGCATTTGGACCCTAAGGTCCCTCTTAAGTCTGGGTTGCCAAGATTCTTCTTCTGAGCAGCCAGATCCCATGAGTTAACCTGCTATCAGGCCACAGAGCTGTCAGGAAGCATCTACCTTAAGAACCACGTAGAGGGACACCTGGGTGGCTCAGCGGTTGAGCATCTGCCTTCGGCCCAGAGCGTGATCCTGGGGCCCAGGATCGAGTCCCACATCGGGCTCCCTGCATGGAGCCTGCTTCTCCCTCTGCCTGTGTCTCTGCCTCTCTCTCTCTCTCTCTCTGTCTCATGAATAAATAACTAAAATCTAAAAAAAAAAAAAAAAAAGAATGAAAGAGCCATGTAGAAAGCACTCTGTGTGGTACCTAAGTCAACGTGATGTGCTGGGAGGAACTGACAAGGATTATGGATCATGAACCAAAAGTGCCTTTAGGAACAGAAAAATCCTCTTTCAGAATCGCTGTGGGAAGGCTAACAGATGTGAAATCATTCTAACTCCGATAAAGTAGAATTCAGTACAAGACAAGTTGATTTTAAATAATTTTCAATCATGACTTAGGATCATACTCTCATAGCTCACAGACCTCCCTCCTCCTGTATGCAAAGTGATTTCATATCACAGGTATAGCTTTCCTGATTTAATTACTCAACTTTGGGGGGCAGCCACAGCAATTTTCTGTACGTAAAAAAGAAAACAATACAGATCTGCTAGGGTTTCCAGGCATATAACTTAAAATGATCAGATGGGACTCAATCTTACCTCTGTGGAATTTCTTTTTCCAGCTATTGAGTGTCAAGTTTACAACTCTCAACTACCCTTGTGTGGGCCCATAGAGCTAAAAGAATTTCTGCAGCATTTTTTCTTTGGATGAGAAAGCCATCAAGTTTCTCTCCTTATGAGGCATCTCAAATTAAGTTCTAGTCATATTATTTAACACACTGGTTTTAAAGCCCCTGGCAAAAGAATACTGGAGTTTATCTTCAAACTATCAGATTTACAAGTCAGCAGACTCCTTACCTTATGATGGGGCTGACAGACTAAAAGAGAATGTGTCTTATGAAATAAAGTAGCTGTTCCTTTTATCACACTATCCATGATTCCTTTGAAGCATTTAAAAAATTCTACCTGATTTATGACTCTGCTATGGCTTAAAATGCTATTAACAGTACTTCAGGGAAAGTTTCTTGTCCTCTTTTCAAAACGTATCTGCTTTAGTCTCTTGAAAGAAAAAGTAACATGCTGCACTTACATTTTTCCCAATCAAAATTGCATAGTTGAGGCAAATTCATTTGTGCTTTGTAGCAGAACTCACAGTAGGTGTTCATATCTAAAAACTTGGATTTGTAAATGCAAAGTCATGGTCAAGCTCACCTCTGTTTAGAGTGTATGCTAATGACATGTACCACCATTACACTTCCTGTGATTTTGTTAACCAGGCACCTCTCAGCCTTATACCACACTGGAGCATGAGCATTAAATTAACATAGCGGAAATGGTAACAAATATATCTCAACTCCTCTTTCTTGGAGAGAAGTGGGGGAGAGGGGGTGAAGGCTCCCAGTCTTGTTGAGGTATCCAGCCCTCAATTGATGGTGGCTGTGTATACTGAGTTTTGTTGGTTTGAGGATTTTGTCTTTAGAGGTTAAAAAAAGAAAGAAAGAAAGAAAAGAAGGCACGGGTGTTTCTTAAGTTGCCATATTCAACTCAACCAACAAAACTAAAGTCTTCCATTTTCAAGCTTCAAGAGGGAGGCTACATGGCAGTAGGGCTTTCTTCCAGCCCCGGGTCTGGGGAGGAGCTTATTGCTTCGGGGAAGGGCCCCGGATAGGTCTGTGCTGTGTATTGGATCCCTTTCTGCAGACCAGTCTCTTCATGGAAATCCCCCTGGCTGCTGAAAGCTGGACAAGATCTAGTCCGGGCATACTTATCGGCGTTGTCAGTGTGGCCCACCATCTCGCTCACAGTGCTCAGAGGGAATTCTCTCCACCTCTGCCTCTGCAGCGCGTCCTCCTTGTATTTAATGGAGTACCAGGCCAGAAAAATAAAAATAAAGCCAACAAATTTGAGGCCAGCTGCCAAACCAAAATAGACAAAACGAAATGATGTCACGTTGTACTCCCAGCAAGAGCCTTGCACTCCACATTCCTGTTGCCAGAGCATGCAGGTGGTGTCAATAACCGCTCCAAAGTAAATTGGAGTAGGAATGTATGCTAGAGTTGCAGAGAAAAAGGAAAAGAAAAATATTTAGCTTCTCTTAAAAAACAGATTTGTAAATTAGCAAGGTGCTTATTGGCTCTAAAACCAGTTGAGGGCAGTGGTTTTCTTGTGTTACTTGACTGTTTTAAATATGTCACATCTTATCATAATATATTTATTATAAAAATGCTAAATTATAAATACTTTAAATCTTCTAATTTGCAACCCAGTCAGAATACATTATTGATTTTTAAGATTATAAAAATGTCTATTGCTAAAAACTCAATTAGGCAATCCTTTTAAACTTAAAAAATCAGATTTTGTCATGGAATACTCAAGAGGCTCTACTAACACCCTTCATGAACCACTAAAATTCAGTACACTTAGATCCGATGGGTTGGGTTCTAGTCCTTGAGTGCAGGAAGAATATGGGGAAAAAACTGCCCCCCTATAAGTCAGAAACCACATCAAATGGCAAACTGCATAAAGACATTCGGCACATAGAAATAATTAAGGCATAAAATTCATCTTTGAAGCTTGTGAAACATCTGTGATAAGTAGTAGCTTCATTGTTTGGGCTATGAGATAGACATTTCTTTACTCCCATAAGAAAGAAAGTCTACCCAAGTAGACTTCCTTCACCGTATGTTACTCCCTTTACTGAAATGTTTCCCCATCCCCAAATTGTTCACCTTGCAATTATCTACCCCTCCTTTAAATTCCTCACTCACTCAGGTGCCACTAATATTCCAACTGCATTTTGCAAATCTCCATTGTATCAACTATCACATAGCTTTGGAAGTGTTTACAGGTTTGTCACCCATAGTTCCTTGATGGCAGAGACCATGCCTTTTATTCCTTTATCCCAAGGACCCATCAGGACAGCCTGTGGATCCTCAATAAGAGTTTATAAAAGGAAGTGATGGGAAGGAATGAGGGAGAAAAGGAGAAAGAAAAGAGAGAAGAGAGGAAGAAAGGGAAGATAGTGGGCTAAGAGCCCAGGTGATGTATTTTTAAATATGTTGTATTCATTTAAATGAGGTATGTTCGCTACAATTAAAATTTAACATTACTAAAAAACTCTATTTGCTTTGGAATTTTAGGAAATGGAAATTGGCTTGTGGGCCCAACTATAGTTTTTCATAATCAACAGAACTTAAGTCAACTTTGAATTAATTAACAGATGCCTGAAATGTACTCCTTCCACTTATTCCTAACACTGCAACATCCCTCTGTTGACTCACCTTTACCTCCAATTCCATATGAAATCACCCCAACTCCATGGCATCAAAGATAGGCAGAGCCACGACCCTTTTGTGAAACAAATTTCCTTCCTTGAAAACAACTTTTTAGTTTTCAACAGGAAGTATAAGGAAGCTTCTTAACTAAATCAAAGCATATCAGAATTTCCTTTAACCAGCTGGCTTTGAAAAATGGGACCCTCATTTTTTATGTATATTTCTTTATTGGAGTTCAATTTGCCAACATATAGTATAACACCCAGTGCTCATCCCGTCAAGTGCCCCCATCAGTGCCCATCACCCAATCACCCCATCCCCCCTGCCCACCTCCCCTTCCACTATCCCTTGTTCATTTCCCAGAGTTAGGAGTCTCTCATGTTTTGTCACCATCTCTGGTTTTTCCCACTCATTTTCTCTCCTTTCCCCTATAATTTCTTTCACTATTTTTTATTTTCCCCATATGAGTGAAACCATATAATGATTGTCCTTCTCCGATTGACTTACTTCACTCAGCATAATACCCTCCAGTTCCATCCACGTTGAAGCAAATGGTGGGTATTCGTCATTTCTAATGGCTGAGTAATATTCCATTGTGTATATATACCACATCTTCTTTATCCATTCATCTTTCGATGGACACCGATGAAAGCATCGAGAAACTTCTCACTTTGAGTCAACTGTTTTTCTTTTTTTTTTTTATAAATTAATTTTTATTGGTGTTCAATTTACCAACATACAGAATAACACCCAGTGCTCATCCCGTCAAGTGTCCCCCTCCGTGCCCGTCACCCATTCACCCCCACCCCCCACCCTCCTCCCCTTCCACCACCCCTAGTTCATTTCCCAGAGTTAGGAGTCTTTATGTTCTGTGACCCTTTCTGATATCTCCCACACATTTCTTCTCCCTTCCCTTATATTCCCCTTCACTATTATTCATATTCCCCAAATGAATGAGAACATACACTGTTTGTCCTTCTCCGATTGACTTACTTCACTCAGCATAATACCCTCCAGTTCCATCCACGTTGAAGCAAATGGTGGGTATTCGTCATTTCTAATGGCTGAGTAATATTCCATTGTGTATATATACCACATCTTCTTTATCCATTCATCTTTCGATGGACACCGATGAAAGCATCGAGAAACTTCTCACTTTGAGTCAACTGTTTTTAATAGGTGGGTGTCTTTCTTAACTATTTATATTTATTGTTAGGGCTATATTTTTGATTGATTGATTTATGTTTTGTTTCAAGATTTATTTTTAAATAACCTCTATACACAACATGGGGCCCGAACCCACAACCCCAAGATCAAGAGTCCAAGATCAAGGCAGATGAGGCACCCCTGGCTATGTTTTTTTTTCTTTAATCATAGAATTAGACTATAAATACCATTTATGTGTATGTTTGTCCATTCCCGAATCTGACCATGAATATAGCTTTGTTTTCTGGTTTTTTTCACTTGTAAGCCTTTTCTCATTATACCTTTTTCCTTTCCTTTTATTTTTTTAAGTTTATTTATTTATTTATTTATTTATTTATTTATTTATTTATTTATTTATGATAGACACAGGGGGAGAGAAAGAGAGAGAGAGAGAGAGGCAGAGACACAGAAGGAGGGAGAAGCAGGCTCCATGCTGGGAGCCCGACGTGGGACTCCATCCCAGGACTCCAGGTTCGCACCCTGGACCAAAGGCAGGCACTAAACTGCGGAGCTACCCAGGGATCCCTTAACTTTTTCCTTTTAAAGTCTCATTTGTAGTGGCTGCAAGGTATTCAATCATCCAGATGATGCATAATTAATTCAATCAATCCTCTATAGTGTTGACCATTTCACTGTTTTCAATGTTTCAACATCAAAAATAATCCCTCAATCAATACCACTGTATATATATTTTTGTATATATGTATATACAAAAGTATATGTATATAAAAGTATATGTGCATATATATATGTATATAAAAAGTATATATACACATATATATTTTGTATAAAGAAAATATTTTCTTTTTTTTTTTTAAAGATTTATTTATTTATGATAGACATAGAGAGAGAGAGAGAGGCAGAGACACAGGAGGAGGGAGAAGCAGGCTCCATGCCCGGAGCCTGATGTGGGACTTGATCCCGGGACTCCAGGATCGCACCCTGGGCCAAAGGCAGACGCCAAACCGCTGAGCCACGCAGGGATCCCCAGAAAATATTTTCTTTAAAAAAAAAAAAGAAAAATGGGACCTTCAAAGTTTTATCAGTACCAAAAAAACAAGCAACCCATTCAATGCAACTAGAAGCCTCTGAGGATCACTGGGAAGTCCCTACTCTGGACTGAGCCATCAACCACAACATAATAACAAATTGAGAATTCCAAATAAGATTAATGTTTCAGAGGGTCAGATGATACCATTTTAAACTGTTTCACCCTCCAAAATGTAAATTAAAAATTTAAGTAAAAAAAAAAAAAAGCCTTTTTTTGTCCTGTGGACAATGATACTGATTACTGGGAGAAACAAAGCTGAAGAAAATGAGACTCTTACTTCCAAAAGAAAAAAATACACTTGATGTTGGGGCAGTCAATTAAAAAAATACATTAAAACTGATCAAGGCAATGGGCTACTTCACATGGTATTTCCCATGCATTGTCCCAAAACACAGAGTAATGTGGTGTTTGTCAAAATCAGAACAACGTTCTTCACATCCTAATGAACTTGCAACATACTGACAGTGCTAATGAGCTTCTCTTGTTATTAAATAAAGGAGACTCCCTATGTATCAATTTGGGGATCTTTCTTTGTTCTTTTCAGAATTTTTAATTTCTTTTCTCAGAAAACTTGATAGGTATACTTTTTGCCCAGCCCCACAAAATTGTTGTAAAGGAGTAAGGAATTAAAATTTTTGCAAATAATATGAGTGCCAATTTCCATCATTTCCATGTTTAAAAAGGCATAAGAAGAGCAGCCCGGGTGGCTCGGCGGTTTAGCGCCGCCTTCAGCCCAGGGCGTGATCCTCAGCTCAGGGCATGATCCTGGAGCCCTGGGATCGAGTCCCACGTCGGGCTCCCTGCATGGAGCCTGCTTCTCCCTCTGCCAGTGTCTCTGCCCCTCTCTCTCTCTCCATGTCTCTCATGAATAAATAAATTTAAAAAAAAATTTTAAAGGCATAAGCAAACAAAAATGCCAGGATCATAGCCCACTACAATCTCTTGGTTCAATAATTTTTACTGTACCAAAAACTCTCTGGAAGAATTTAGCCCAAGTTTATGCTCATGGTATAAAAGAAACTGTTCTAAAGTCAGTTGTATTTTGTTTCATCAAATGACAGAACTGGGTAGCTTCTAGTGCAAATCAGAAAATAAAGAAGTTGTGCCCTTGCCATTAACCTTTAAAGTCTATCTACTACTCTACTAATGGTAACAAATGATTGACTTGCCATTTTTAAAGGACAGTGAGAATGTGCCATCTGTAAAAAGGAATTAAAAGGCATGTGTGGAAATTCAGAAACGTACCAAGTGTTCGCAATAAAACAAACTGCATTCCCAGCGCGAAAGGCCTCTCCTCATCTTCTACTGACCTACAGTGAAGGCAAAAAGAGAAATGTTTTAAAACACTGGCCTCAGGAAATGAATGTTACATCAAGCCTGCTTAGTGCAGAGCCGGGGACCAAAGAGCTGTCATGCCAAAATATTTATTTACTAGAATTTATTAACAACAGCCCAAAGAGACTGTAGATGTAGTTAAATTGGTGAATGAGTTCTCAGAAGTGACTCTGATTCACTCTGTTTCTGGGGAAATTCTGGTGGAGGGTCAAAGATTCATGGTTGAAGGTACAGAAGTAGTTCTGAGCTTCCAAAAAATCAGTTCTGTGAAAAAATATATATAGTATTTTATGCTAACTACTGCATTCTTTTTTTCTATTTGCTTACACTTTTCAGACAGTAGGTGTGTAGACTGAAAGTTACTCCCATAATTTCTCAAGGAAAAGTGTAGAGGAAAAAAGTTAAAGAAAGTAGAACCAGAAAAAAAGTATAAAAAACAAATCAAACATTAGAAAAGGAGTGAATCCCTCCACACCGCCTTGTTTTTTTCTTCTTTTCCTAAAACACAGTCTCCAAGTCATTCCCACATGGCAGGAAGATCGGAATCTATTGAATTGTAATTAGTCAAGATGAAAGGGCTCCTTTTCTGAAGGTTTGGGTTAGAAGCCAGCTGGTGATTAGCCATGTTTGAGCACTATAACATGGGCGGCCTTGATCTGGGTTATTTAACATCTCTTGCAGAATTAAAGTTTAAAGAATGGGATTATTAATGATTCATTTTTTTTAATGATGAAGTACCCTATCCTTTCCGTCCCATACACATTGAGCTGTAGGTATAGCATGTCAACTTCCCAAGGACTGGCACACCTGCCATCTTTTCTGTACCTTCCTTATCTTTTCCTAGCGGTTTGCCTAATGCAGAAGAATCTGTTGATAGAGGAATTGAGTGAATCAACCAATAGGCCTTCCCATGGGAGTATGCTGTTAACATACTGATGTTAACATACTGATAACAGTAGGCTGTTGTCATACTGATGAGGAATGAATTGGCTGGGAAACGTCTAACTCAGCATCCCATGGAAGAGAAGTCAAAATATGCACCATAAGCAACAGAGCCCAACTACCCTGCTAAGCATGACATCCCAGCAGATGTGCCCACCAGGTGCCCAGCCGTGGGGGGTGCTGAGGAGCCAAAGAGGGGGTACAGGAAGAATAAGAACTAATTCCCTTTCCTCCTCACTATTCATTACCCTGCCTCCCCTGGCTGCCCTAAAGCTGCTGTGGACATGCTCTTCCTTCACCACACTGTCCGACTTCTTCCTTTGCCCACTGCAGCCTTTACCGTGAATGCCAACACTCTGATCTGAATGTGCCCCTGTCAATGTTTTGAATAGGACTTCCATTAAAGTAACGTCTGGGTTCTCTTGTAAGCAAAATACCACAAAAGGTATATATAATAAAGCACAGCATGAACAACTGAAAAATTATATCTCCCAGTCTGTCCTTTCCTTGGTTCAACTCCAAAATTTTATATGATAGTAAAATTCATGAAATCAGCATCTTGAACTCCAGGCCCAGTGTGAACTGTCACCGGTCCTAGAAGTACTACCTGCCTACAAGGTTGGAGAGAACATTCTTTGCTGTACAGGAGATTTAGCATCTTCACTAAATGACTTCCTGCCCCATCTGGAGTCAAGCTTTTTGTGGCTAACATGGTGACAGCTTTCAGCTCCGAACTTGAACCCTTTAGGGTGCAGACTTTGGGAACCAAAGACATCCAAAAGAAGTTTCACTCAACTACAGGACTAGAACCATCTGAATAAAGAAAATTCAAGGGCATGAAAGTTACAATCTTCTTTTCCTTTCCCATCCTGACGTGGGAAAACTCTTAAGTTCAACAAGCAAATGTCTGAGCGCTTTCCTGTACAATCAAACTGGCTTTCCTCTCCATTTTACTATATCAGTCTCAGTTTGGAATCCGTACTTGGGCAATTCTGAATGTGTAACCCACCCAGAAGTGGAGTGCTGTTCTCACCTGAGTGTTACTATGATGGCTGATGGTTGGGCACATGCTGTGATGAAGGTGACGATGAAGAGAAAAATTAAGAACGGGATAAGGGTATTGCACGCCCGTTTGCATTTCCCAGACACAGCATAGCCATTCTCGTTGAGATACGTTTTAACAATAACCACGCGGAGCTGACCGCGCTGTCCCACCGTAGGGGAAGTGATCACTTGCCGGCTTTGGACACAGGTGCACTCTGTGTAATTCCTTATCTAAGGGAAGACAAAGATTGGTTGTGAGCCAACCTAAAGCACAGGAAAATTAAGACAAAGTTAAAAGCTCTAAAATAACTCTAGTACTTAAATATGCATAATATTTTGCTGAGCAGAATAAGTCAATCAGAGAAAGACAATTACATGGTTTCATTCATGTGTGGTATATAAGAAATAGCGCAGAGGATCATAGGGGAAGGAAAGGGAAGCTGAATGAGAAGAAGTCAGAGAGGGAGACAAACCATGAGAAACTCTTAACTCTGGGAAACAAACTGAGGGTTGCTGGAGGGGAGGTAGGTAGAGGGGATGAGTAACAGGGTGATGGGCATTAAAGAGGGCATGTGATGCAACGAGCACTGGGTGTTATATGCAACTGATGAACCACTGATCTCTACCTCTGAAACTGATGATGTTCTATATGTTGGCTAATTGAATTTAAACTTTAAAACATGCATAATATTTAACTGAAAATATATCCTTATCGCTAAGAGTAAGGATCCAAAGTGTGCATCAAACAAAGTCTGCTGGCCAAATCATCTAAACCTAAACTTTTATAAGAAGCTTTCAACACTCAGTTCTATAGCGTTCACATTCCATATGTTCATTTTGGTCACAATTATATGGTGTTTCCATCACTGTTTAATTCTTGGGTTCCCTGATTAGAGAAGCCCCTCAAAAACAGAAACCAAGCCTTCTGCTTATTTGTGCTCATTGGAGCACCTAGCATAAGCCGGGGCACAGTGTAGGACTTAAGGTAATATTTGTTAAATAAATGCAGAGAATTCAGGATACAGCTGTGATGACTCCAGGGCCAGGACGAGTGAATCTATCATTGGCTGTTTCATTTAAAACCAGCTAATTCAAGGAGCTAAAAATGTATTTCAAATAAAAACAATCAATCTGCCTCTTCTGTTATTTTTACTGACCAGACATCAGCTGAACTCACTGTCATTGTGACCTCTCAGCCACTTAGAGAAGCAGTAGCAACAAATATGAGGATGGGGGCCATTTGGCCATCTGTGCTCCAGGGACTGCTGGTCTCTTTTCAAGAACGAGGACTGTACATTAAAGGACTCACTCACTCACTTGCAGGGAAGTCCTTAGCCCCCAAGAACAGATCTCCTCTCTTTCAACTTGGGCACATGCTAGAGCTCACCCATTATATAATGGAGATCCAGCAACAGGCTTTCTCAATTTATCACCATAGCTTAAAACTCAGAAATCAAATATGGTAACCCCAAAACATACAGTCAATGGTCTAATCTCTGAACACCCACACAATACAAGCCAATGCACCTTAACCTTATTAATTAAAGCAGCCTCCCACAATCTGTTCTTATGCAAAGAATGAAACCAGGCTCAGTAAAGAACTGAGTAGAATATGAAAACCTCCCACAGTATTACAGCCTATTTATAATTCACAGGGAAGGGAATTCTCAAAATAGCCTATTCTTAAACTGACAGAAATATCTTTACTCTGAAAGTTAAAAAAAAAAAAAAGTTTGAACTGATAGTCTATAAAAAATGGCCATTGCCTATCTTCACAGATTCTGATCAGGGAAGGTACTCTCCTATTCTCTTCCACTGGCACAAAATGTGGTCATTTTGACCTTCAAATGCATCGCAAGGGCCCTAGGAGAGTAAGAAATGGGCGGCCTAGCACTCAACGTTATCACATTTCACTGAGTTGGCACAGAACATCATAAAGTGGGAGAGGGCTGATGTGAAACCAATCACTGCATCCACATGCTCCAATCGTCCCTGGAGAAAAATGATAGCATTGCATAATTTTCCTTCCTCTGGGTTTTTGCCAAGATGTATTTTGTAGGTTATCTGAAGTTTCTTGAAAAGAGGGACTGAAGCCACGCAATAGCATATGAGTCCTAACACGTCCTCGTCACAGGATGTTGGATTAACGACGGTACAGGAACTTGTGAAATATACTCACCCCAGTGCTAAGATTACCACTGTTAACACAGCCAGCCAGACAAGGGTTAAAGTATGTAATTCCATCTGATCCACAGACTGGCTCATACTCGTGTATTTTACAACCACAATTAACATTGCAGCTTCCTGTCAGGTTCCTGTGAGGCATGGTGAGAGAAGGTCTAGAGAGAAAAAAGCAGGTCATGAGCAACATTTACTAAAATAAAACTCTAAAGAAAGTTCTCGACGTTAAGTAATTTGTCCATTTTAGAGAAGCTAGTCCCAATAAATTAAAGCTATGGGAGTGTAAAGTAGCCCCCCTGGATAATAATCACGACTTTCAAACAAAACATAAAGAAAAACGTTTCAATCTTATGATACTATAAATTCAATATTTTCACATGAAATTATCTATACTGCTTCAACCCTACCTTCCATCTTGGTGCTACAGATCTGAGCTCAGTAGTTCCAACCCCGATATAACTCCATACTTATTATAGACATTAAGCTCTATGTCTTAACAAATCCAGGCCTCAATTTCTTTAACTATAAAAGAGAGGAAATACTTTTCCAGATCAATAACAACATTAGGAGGGCACGAACAAAATCCACCCATCACAGTTGTCGACACAGTTTCCTTCGAGCAAAAACATGAATTGTTCTGGAATAAATTATCAAAGAAAGACATGCAACCCTAGAAAATGAATCAGAAGTGATTTTCAAAGATCAGAAATCACATCATTAGTTTGATTCAAACAACCAGAGAAGAAAAATTCAGTCCTTCCTTCAGAATGCCCAGATGCGGATTCACAAAGTGGTGGATTTTCGGGATCCCTGGGTGGCGCAGTGGTTTAGCGCCTGCCTTTGGCCCAGGGCGCGATCCTGGAGACCCGGGATCGAATCCCACGTCGGGCTCCCGGTGCATGGAGCCTGCTTATCCCTCTGCCTGTGTCTCTGCCTCTCTCTCTCTCTGTGTGTGTGTGACTATCATAAATAAAAAAAATTTAAAGAAAAAAAAAAGTGGTGGATTTTGTTTTCTCATAAGATCCTGATGTATGGGTGGTGCAGTCGGTTAAGGGTCTGACTCTTGGTTCAGCTCAGGTCATGATCTCAGGGTTGTGAGATGGAGCTCAGCATCTGGTTCCATGCTCAGTGGGGAGTCTGCTTAAAGATCTCTCTCCTTCTTCCTCTGCTCCTTCCCCCATACTCTCCCTCTCTTAAATAAGTAAATGTTTGATTCAAAGAAATGATACAATATGGAAAACTCTAATCGATTCAGGCAACAGAAATAAAAGGGAGAAAAAGGAAATAAGGATATAGACCTGAGGAGAGAAGTAAAAGGAAATATTGTGGAAGGGCAGAGGCAGGCAGGTACCCGGGAGGGACTCATAGAAGCCATAGAAGAAATGAAAGAGGCCCTGTAGTGACCTCTTCTTTCCTTGGTTTCTGTGACCACCATTCTTGTCACTGATGAAATACTGCTCCTAAAGCCACAGGAGTTAATAACAGCTGATCCATCATTCAACTGTCCATCTATTCATCATCCATCCATTCAACAATAGTTTGGAATGTTTGTTATGTGCCAGAACCTATCTTTTAAATGTCTGTGTTGAGTATTCACCTCTCCAGTAGCATAGCTCATTCTAACTTTATGTGTTAATCTATAAACATAAAGCATTATTTGTTCAAAGGTCTCTTTGCTGTGTCCTCTTTCACACTTTGATAACTGAGTTCTCAAATTTTAATTAAAGGAACAAATTCATAGCAGTGTTTAAACCTTATCAAGAAAGGCTTCTAAGGAGGCAAAAGTGAAATAACCTCTGTTCTTTACATCACTGTACAGAAGTGTCATAGAACTTTGATAATTGTGCCAACAAACTCTTGGATTCATATCATTTTGTGGTGTACTTCTAAAAATGTGATTCTTGGGACACCTGGGTGGCTCAGCAGTTAAGCACCTGCCTTCAGCCCAGGGCGTGATCCTGGAGATCCGGGATTGAGCCCCACGTCAGGCTCCCTGCATGGAGCCTGCTTCTCTGTCTGCTTATGTCTCTGCCTTTCTCTCGCTCTGTGTCTCTCATGAATAAATAAATTAAAATCTTTAAAAAATAAAAATTTTAAAAATTAAAAAGAAAATGTGATTCTAGACCAGTAATTCTCCATAGGGACAATTTTGTTCCATAGGGGACATTTTTGTCACAACTAAGAGGGTGCTACTGGCCTCTAGTGGGTAGGGCCAGGGATGCTTCTACATCCTACAGTACAGAGAACGACCCCGCACCACCCCTATCTGCAACAACTCCTATGACTACACTTGTGCATGCATGCACAATTTAAACCCCCACAAGACCCTCATCGCCCAAGTCTTAGTGTTCTTGAGGGTGAGGGTGAGAATACCTAGTCTAGACCTACTACTACATTCCACAAATGATGAAATGGAGGTTCAGGGAGGCCAAATGATTCACTATAATGCTAATTAGTGCTGTTTTAAGTGGTACCATATGAAAAGCCTTCTGTGTCCATTACCATTCTCTTCACTAGTTCTTCAAGAGCAACACTGGAAGCCATGACCAAACAAAAGAGGTTTTACATGTCTGCATGCTTAGTCACTAAAAATGACAGGTTCCAAATCCATACAATATAGTTATTATTATTGCTACTAAGAAGCTACAAAGAATTTCTTTTAAGAGCCTGATTCGTGTTCATTTATGACCACCACAAGATTCCAAACACCTCTCCTTTATGGGCATGTCCACTCAAGAGAAAGGAATCTAGAGAGAATATAAACAGATGCTCAAAACCCACTGATGACAGGAAGCAAAAGCTTTCCTGAGTTCCAGAAACAGAGGCACAGTTCCAGGTTACTGTTGGGTATGTTTGTTTTTCTCATGAGAACATGGTGTCTGAAACAAAGAGATGATACAATAAAGCTCAAAGAAAATCAAAACAGGCAACAAATATAAATAGCAGTGAAAAGAAGTGGGCTTTCACAAGGGTCATTAGGGGAAGGCCACAGTGGCACAAAAAAGGAAAGATACCCATGGTCAATGTTTTACACTGTGCTGAGTTTAAAAAAGAAATAAATTTTAAAGAATAATAATGTCTTGTTTGACAATCACTCACTTTTCAGAAAACAGGCTGGGTTATTAGAAGTGTATAAGTGTTGAAATTTGAATAACACTAAACAACCTCTCATTAGCCTGAAGTGAATCCACCATGGGGGTACAAAATGCACATGGGCTGCAGGGCATCCCACACTTACATTGTGCAAAGGGTCTGTGCATCACACTTCCAATAAACGAAAGCATTTCTGACAAGTTTGCTTCACAGGTAAGATGTTCCTATTAGCTCAGAGGCAAGGTATGAAATGACATGTCCCGCAATCATTGAGTCTTCAAGAAAACCAGCCGCAGAGAGACCAAATGAACAAGAAAAGGGAAAAGGAGCAAGCTTTCCACCCAATCCTTATTAAATCAATTGCTTCAGGATCAATGTTTATTTAAAGCAACATATAATCATAAAACATATCATGGTTTAACATAAGTAATAACGTCCACCATGGAGCCATTACAGCTGAGTAAGCAAGGACACAGTCAAATGTCTCTCTCTGTCTCTCTCTCTTGCTCATGGGCACCTAAGTATGTCAAATCATCTGACCCCAAGACCTAAAGAAGTTAAGACTTCCCCATCTGACATACTTTTGCAGGTCGCCATAAATCAAAGAGGAGCCTCCTTAACCATCTTTCTGCCTCCCCTTACATGTCTCCCTATTAAGAAACATGACAAGTGGGCATCTATGCATCTTACGCACAAGTCACATGCATTAAAAGAATATGATTCATGTAGAAAATACCTTTTTAGTAAAACGTACTAATCAACTAGAAAAAACTGATATCTTTCTCATAATATCTTAATAGCTATCAATTTATCTCAACTTCAAGAAGACTTCGATTAGAATGTTTCTTTTTGATTCTGCTTAAATTTTTGGCTTCATATTAAAATGCTTCCCTGGCTATATATAGCTGTGCAACTTCAGGTTTATAATTATTATTATTATCATCATAATCAACGTTATCATTTAAAACTAACATTTACGGAGCCCTATTTTTACTTTAGGAATTGTGCATCAAGATCTCTATATAAATTACCTCATTTCTTCCTCACGAGAATTAAAATTATTATGACTGTGCCTTCATTTTTTAGATGAGGAAATTGAAGATATGAGAGGATAGATACTGTTGAAGTTCACAGAGCTAGTGAGGATCAAAGACGGATTCAAACCTAGTTATCTCTGTGTCCGTAGTGTACACCCTTAAACCCCTAAACTTGTGGGGAAGTTTTGCATAACAGTCTGGATTTTTGCTTTCACTAGCACCAGTCTTCTGGGTGCTTCATCCTGCTTTATTCTTCTTCTTCTTCATCTAATGCAGTTTTTCCAGCACTCACCCTTCACCGTGACTAAGCATTAAAGTCAGGAAGAACAGGTTTAATTCCATATTGACAATTCACAAGTGTGGTGACCCAATCTAAAGAGATTTCACACTTGTAAAATCAAGATCATACTGTCTCTATCACATGGCTGTTGAGAGGATTAGGTGGGTAAATGTATATCCAGTGTCCAGCATTGGTCCTCAAACATAATAGGCACGAAGATATTGGTGTGCTCTCTTTATCTACACATGAAAGAAGTATTAATGAATTAAAGTAATACTCACAAGGGCAAAGATCACAAACAGCCTTTGTGATGTTTTTCTTTTCAAAAAGAAACAAGTCATTCTCTAATTTACTCCTACAGATACTTCTGGAAAAAGAACTAAACTGGGATCTAGGTTTAGGGCTATGATTTTGTATGACCACGGGCCAAATCTAACAGTCTATGGCTATTAATGTCCTTCTTGCCTGTATGAGGATGGCGAGTGTAATCAAGGAATCATAATATGACATAATATATATAATAGCATAGGTTTTGCTAAAGGACTATATTCATGGAAGTTATAATTACTATATCCAATCATTATTTTTATTGTTAAAGTTTAGCTTTATAGTTTACAAATTCACATCAGGTATAACTTGAAACTTACATATAACGACCTAAAACTTACACAAAATATTTTTTTCTTTTCTTTTCTTTTTTTTTTTTTTTTTTTGAGTAAACTCTACCTCAACATGCAACCAGAACTCA